GGGTTTGTATAGCTGTTTTCAGAGATACTTGTAGGGACCTGTAAATTTTCAGTTCTTCCAAGGTGGTATGATAAGGGGCAAGGTGTTTACTCCTTTCCTGGCCTGTGACCACAAGTACTCCTTTCTGTCTTGTAACTGTGAGGAGGGGTTCCTCTCTATAACCACTACAAGCTCCACCATGCCAGCACTCCTCCTTACCCCAGCACTGCCACCCAAAACTGTGACCCAGATCCACACACCGGCAAAGCAAGAGATTCCTGCCTCAGCACTGGCAAAGAGATCCCTGCAATCCCTCTCTGATCAGCCACTGGATTCCCCCTCAGTCTGTGGGCCAGAAGCTCGGGAAGCAGCTGCCCCCCCCCCACCCAGGCCACACTCTTGGGGAATGGAGCTGAAACCCTGCCTTCCTCTCTGAGCACCAACAGAAACAGACTTTTCCCACTGACCTTCTAAGTTGTCTTTGGCATTCGTGGATTGAGGAGTCTGGAAAACTCCACAGCTGCCCGGGATTCAGTCCTCTGAGGCCTGCTCCAGGTTTGCTGCAGCCTGCGCGCCCATGCTGTGCTGCGCTGCGCTCCCAGCCCAGCACGATACACCTTTCTGATCAATCATCCAGGTTGTCTTGGGCTGGAAATTTGTTTCACTCTGTCTTTTTGTGGGTTCTGCTGCTTCAGAATTTGTTTAGAGCCATTTTTTATGAGTATTTGGAGGGGTTTGGGGGAGAGCTCAAGCAAGTCACTGCTTTCACTCCGCCATCTTGGCTCCGCCAGCCTATGCTTCTCTTTAACCTTTTATTTGAACGTCAGATTTTCTATTCAGCTCTGATCTTTTCACCAAGAATGCTTAAAAGTCCTCTATTTTGTTAACTATCCATTTCCTCCCTGAAGGATCATACTTAGTTATGTTGGGTAAATTATTCTTGGTTGTAATCCTAGTTTCTTTGCCCCCTGGAATATCATATTTCAATCCCTTTGCTCCTTTAATGTGGAAGCTGCTAAATCTTATGGAATCCTGACTACAGCTCCACATGTGAATTGTTTCTTTCTGGCTACTTACAATATTTTCTTCTTGACCAGTGACTTTTGGGATTTGGTTATACTATTCCTAGGAGTTTTCATTTCAGGATCTCTCTCAGGAAGTGATTGGTGGGTTCTTTCAGTTTCTATTTTACCCTCTGGTTCTACAACATCAGAGCAGTTTTCCTTGACAATTTCTTGAAAGATGATGGCTAGGCTGTTTGTTGGGTTTTTTTTACCATGGTTTTCAGTAGTTCAATAATTCTTAAGTTCTTCCTCCTTGATCTATTTTCCAGGTCAGCTGTTTTTCCAATGAGGTATTTCACATGGTCTTCTATTATTTCATTCTTTTGACTTTGGATGATTGTTTCTGGAAGTCTCATGGAGTCATTAGCTTCTACTTGCACAATTCAGATTTTTAATTCAGTGACATTTTGTACCTCTTTCTCCATTTGGTCAATTCTGCTTTTTAAGATGTTCTTTTCTTCAGTGAATTTTTGTACCTCCTACGATCATGTCTTGGTCTTCCCTGCCACTGCAGTAGCTTTTTCATGGTCAAGTTCATTTTTTTTGTTGTTGTTGTTCTTTGTTCATTTCCCCAGCCTATTTCTTCACTTTGAAATTTATGTGAAAGTTGGACCCTGAGAAGATTCTGGGAAGGTTCAAAAATTCCAAGCTCACCAGATTTTCCCCACAAACAAGATGAAATAGCACCTCAGAATAAATATACAGCATAAAAATAAATGAGTAGGGACAGAACAGTGGTCATCCTGGGACAATCAGAGAAGATCAGAAGGAAAATCCCAGGATGAGGTTTGGTTCCTGTGAAGAGTAAACACCTCCAGGCTGGTTCCACTTTAACTGCATTAGCTAGGTTAGGAGGCACCCTGGGCCCCAGCCACAGGAGCTTTTATCCCTGGGACAGTGAGGGGAGATGAGCATCTGAGCTGGGGAAGACTGAGGGAAACTCTGCTGACAAGGAACACTGGACCCAGCTGTGCTACGAAGATGCAGCCCTGAGTGAAAAGGAACCAGCACATACCTACTGAATGCAGAAGCAGTGGGGCAGGAAATCGCTGGCTGTGGACACTTACAGGAGGCTGGAGGTCTCAGTTTTGGTTCCAGGCCAAAGGGGAGAACTGAAAGAGGATTTGAGGGCAGAGGCACAATCACCCTTACTCCAGGGCTAGAAGTCTACAAAGGAAAAAATAAGCAGGCAAAGGAGAAAGAATCCAACCATGGAAAGTTATTACAGGAATAGAGAAGACTGGGGTTCATCTTCAGAAAACGATACTGAAGCAAAGAAACCGTCTTCTATCCCAAACAGTAATGTCAAATGGTCACCTGTCCAAGAAGAACTTTAAAAAGATTTTAAAAATCAAATGAGAGAGATTGAGGGGGGAAAAAAACAACGAAGAACACTCCAAGAAAAACAAGAAAATCACAAAAAGAAAGTCAACCAATTAGAGATCCAGAATCTTAAGGAAGAAAAAGACTCCTTGAAAATCAGAATTGGGCAAGCGAAGTCATAAGAGACCAAGAAATAATAAAATGAAAGATAAAGAATGAAAAAATAGAAGAGAAGAGAATGTGAAACATCTCATAAGAAAAAGAGCTGATCTGGAGAACAGATCAAGAGAAGAAAACATAAAAATAATCAGATACTCCTGCTGGGGCGAGGGGGCTTGCATGTGAGATGACAGAACTGGGGAGTTTCCTTTTCTTTAATTTAATATTTTATTTTTCCCAATTACATATAAAAACAATTTTCAACATTCATTTTTTAAATAGAGTTCCAAATTCTCTCCCTCCCTCCCCACCCCCCTTATTGAGAAGGCAGGTAATCCTATTTAAGTTATACATGTGTAATCATGCAAAACATATTTCCATATTAGTCATGTTGCAAAAGGAAATACAGACCAAAATAAAGCCCAAGAAAAGTAAAGTAAAAATTTTAAAAAAAGGTGTATTCAGACTTTATCAGTTCTTTCTCTGGGGATGCATAGCATTTTTCACATTAACTCCTTCACAGTTGTCTTTCTTAAGAGTTCTGTGGCAACAATTGTTTGAGAAGCAAAGTACCCCTTTCCTGCACTCCCCAAACCATAGTTTAAAGTTCTTGAGAGTACACAATTGATTACAAGAGATAAGGGGCATAGGGCTGAAATGTTTATTTTCCCCTATCCCTGCTTAAGGTGTGTTAACAAAAGACATTAATATCTCATTTGTAATCTCTGGTAGGGGAGGGCATCTTGGACCCAGGTAGACACAGCTATCAAGTCATAAGTTCAGAGGCAGCAACAGACCTCAGCTGACTTAGGGGTGTTGGGAAAAAACCACCAAGAAAGAAAACTGTACAGCATGGAATAAGTCCCCCGTACTGGCACCAGTGTCCCAGGGAATTCGTGCAATCTCAGAATGGCTTGGCCACTGCCACCAGATATTTTTAGGACATTAGGATATCAAATAAGAGAACAAGGGCCCTTACTAAAAGACAGTCCTGAAATATTTACCTTGGATTGTCTATGTGAATGCTTGCTACACGGTGGGATAGGGGAGATTTACATAGCCAAAAAAATCTTCACAGGAACCTAATATTGGAGAGAAGGGTCTTAATTATTAATGTAGCTATGTATAAATGTGGGTACTCATGTATAACTGACAAGCAACATCAATGCATTTACATTAATAAAAGAAAGATCAATGTGATCTTTCAGGAAACTGAAGAAGTAACAAATCACTCAGCTCCTGCTGGGAAAGAGGATGAATTGAGAATGCAGAGACACATACATTTCATAGCATGGCCAATCTGGGAACTGGTTTTGCTGGACTGAGCTTGCTTACAATTAAGGCATTTTTATTTCCGTTTTATGGAGAAGCAGTAAGAGGAACAGATTATGAAAGCATGTACAAAAAATGAATGAGTGAGGCAAGCAGAAAAACCAAAGGAAGGTATGTGCAATAATAAAAACCCTAAATAATAACCATATCTTTTTGCACACTAAGAAGAAAGTCACAGTACCCATATTACCCACGTTATGGGTTGACTTGGCAGTCATAGCTCAACTGGTCCCACCAGCACCTTCTCACTAAACTGTTTTTGATTCCTACTTATCTAAGTCTGTTCCACTGATTTGCAATCAGCAACAATAGTTTTGATGACTACTATTCTGCCATATAGTGTGAGGTCTAGAATGGCTATGTCTTCATGCTTTACATTTTATCCCCCATTATTTCCTCTATGATTCTAGACCTTTTCCCCCTCCAAACTAAGGTCACTATTTTGTCTAGAGCTACAAAATAATTCTTCAGTGTGTTCACTGGTAGAACACCAACTGTGTAATTAAAGTATTATCATTTTTATCATAATGGGACAGCCCAACCATGAACTATTTTCTACTTACAAATGGACAATCCCTTAGATAACAGCTATCTGAGAGGAGGGCAGGAAATACGTTAGGAAATGAAGAAACAAAAGCTATCAATAATATTTTTTGAAAGGGAAGGGAAAAATCATTTACAGCTAAGTAAATATAAAATATATCCAGAGTTTTCCTACAAATAATTTTTAGCAATCTTGATTAAACAATTCATGACTCTAGGAGCAGTAAAAAGCATGCTTGTTTTTTACCATAGCCATGCCAGCATCAAATCCTTTCACTTTTAACAATCTTTGTCAAATCCATGGGGTTGAAGAGAATCTTGGACCTTTTAGATTCACAGAGAATGTTTTTTGAATTCTGAATTTTTTTCATACGGTTGTGGATAATGTGTGTTTCCTTTCCTTGAATCTGCCTGTTCCCATATTTTGACAACTTGCCTATTGAAGAACGATTCCTGTTGTTATAAATTCATGTCAGCTCCCTATCAGTGTTGGATGTCAGACTTTTATGAGAAGTGTATGGAGAAGGGTAAAGCTCTATGGAGAAATGACTCATGTTGTGAAAATAAAAGGCATCAATAAAACTTATTATAAAACATAAATAAATTAATGGAGGAAGAAAGTGTTTAATGAACAAATGTATTTCCCAATTTGCTTTGATGTTTCTTGTGCCTGTGTTAGAAAACAACATACACCCATTTTGGGCTGAGGTTTCTTATGCATTTGAATGCCTGTAACTTGTCAGTGGGAGTTAAAAGTAAAAGGGATTTTTTAGATGATAGTCTGATTCTGAGGCACTGACTAGTACAACTCTTCTGCCACCTGGTGGCAACCATTGTGAACTGCATGGAGCTCAGGAGAAACAAAGGAAATTGTTATTTATCCCTCTCAAAACACCACAAAATAACGTAATCAAGTCAGCAATCTTGCCCCTCCGGCATTAAACAGATTGGCAAGCTGGGAGGATGCTCCCATCATCACTGCAGTTCATTTGCAGCATGAGGTTTATGATATTAAATAAGGGATGAACCACATACCATGAAGATCTTCTCATGGTTACAGTATTCGTGACTTTTTCTTCTGCATGAATTCTCTGAGCCCTCCTTAATGTTCCATTAGTGCCTAAGACTTTCCTGCATTTTATTACACTTATGGAGTTTCTCACTGCACACTCTGGTGTTCAGTAAAGTGCCCTTTTTGGCTGAAGGCTTTTCCACATTCATTGCTTCTGTGTAGTTTCTCTCAAACAGGATAACCCAGCAAGCAAGAACCATATTTCAAGGGTTTCAAGCTTACCCTCCAGCATGAATTCTCATTTATTAATTATGCATGGCAAAGCTTTCCCACATGTATTATATTAACTAAGTTTCTCTTCTGTATGAATGCTTTTGTGTTTGCTAAGTAATGACTTACGGGTGAAGTTTTTCCCGCATTGATTGCACTCAAAGGGTTTCTCTCCAGTATGAGTTCTCCGATGTGAAACCAGTGATGACCTCTGGTTGAAGTTTTTTCCACATTCATTACACTCAAAGGGTTTTTCTCCAGTATGAATCTTTTGATGTGAACTAAGTGATGACCTCCGGCTGAAGTTTTTCCCACACTCATTACACTGAAAGGGTTTTTCTCCAGTATGAATTCTCCAATGCTTAATAAGTGATGACCTCAGACTAAATTTTTTCCCACATTCATTACACTCATAGGGTTTCTCTCCAGTATGAATTCTCTGATGCACAGTAAGGTGAGATTTGTTGTGGAAAGCTTTCCCACATTCAGTACATTCATAGGGTTTCTCTCCAGTATGAATTCTCAAATGGAAAACAAATGATTTTCTATGGCTAAAGCTTTTCCCACATTCACTACACTCATAGGGTTTCTCTCCAGTGTGAATTCTCTGGTGTACAGTAAGTTGAGATCTGTTGTGGAAAGCTTTTCTACATTCATCACATTCAAAGGGTTTCTCTCCAGTATGAGTTCTTCGATGTACAACAAGCTGAGATTTGTGGTAGAAGGCTTTTTCACATTCATTACACTTAAAGGGTTTCTCTCCAGTATGAATTCTCTGATGTAAAGTAAGCTGAGATTTGTTGTAGAATGCTTTCCCACATTCATGACACTCAAAAGGTTTCTCTCCAGTGTGAATTCTTTGATGAACAACAAGCTGAGATTTGTTATGGAGAGATTTTCCACATTCATTACAATCTAAGGATTTGTCCCCACTATGAATTCTCTTATGTACAGTAAGCTGAGATTTGTTATGAAAGGCTTTTTCACATTCATTACACCCAAAAGGTTTTCTCCAGTATGAATTCTCTGATGGAAAAGAAAGGACTTCTTATAATTGAAATTTTTCCCACATTCAGTACACTCAAAGGGTTTTTCTCCAGAATGGATTCTCTGATGGAAAATAAGTGATTTCCTCTGGCTGAAGTTTTTCCCACATTCAGTACACTCAAAAGGCTTCTCTGCAGTATGAATTCTCTGATGTTCAGTAAGGTGGTCCTTCCGGGTGAAAGCTTTCCCACAGTTAACGCATTCAAAGGGTTTCTCACCAGTGTGAATTCTCTCGTGTTTATTAAGTTGACTCTTTGACATAAAGGCTTTCCTACATTCAAGACATACAAAAGGTTTCTGTCCAGTATGAGTGCTCTGATGTACAGAGAGCTGATATTTGTTGTGAAAGGTTTTGCCACAATCCATACACTCAAAGGGTTTCTCTCCTGTATGAATTCTCTGGTGTTCAATAAGGTGAAATTTGTCTCGGAAGGCTTTTGTGCATTCATTACATTCAAAAGGTTTCTTTCCAGTGTGAATTCTCTGATGTGAACTAAGTGATGATCTCAAGCTGAAGTTTTTCCCACATTCCTTACACTCAAAGGGTTTCTCTCCAGTATGAATTCTCTGATGTACAGTAAGATGAGATTTGTCCCGAAAGGCTTTCCCACATTCATTACACTCAAAGGGCTTCTCTCCAGTGTGAATTCTCTGATGTGAACTAAGTGATGACCTTTGGCTAAAAGTTTTCCCACATTCATTACATTCAAAGGGTTTCTCTCCTGTATGAATTCTCTGATGTACTGTAAGATGGGACTTGTCACGGAAGGCTTTCCTACATTCATTACATTCAAAGGGTTTCTTTGTAATATGATTTCTCTGATGTGAAATGAGTGATGACCTCTGACTAAAGTTTTTCCCACATTCAGTACACTCAAAAGGTTGCTGACCAGTATGAATTCTCTGATGTACAGTAAGGCAAGATTTCTCACGAAAGGCTTTCCTGCATTTATTACATTCAAAGGGTTGCTCTCCAGTATGAATTCTCTGGTGTGCAGCAAGTTTACACCTCCATCTAAAGGCTTTGTCACATTCATTACATTCAAATCGTATTTCTTCCATGTGAGTTCCCTCACATTCAACAAGGATTCCCCCCAGGCTAAAAGCTTTTACACAGTTATCAGATTCAAAGAGTTTCTCTCCATTGTGAATTCTCTTGTGTTTATTAAATTGGCTTTTCCACATGAAGGCTCTCTCACATTCATTACACTCAAAGGGTTTCTCTCTGGTATGAATTCTCTGATGGAGAGTAAGGCAAGACTTGTAATGGAAGGCTTTCCTGCATTCACTGCATTCAAAGATCTTCTTCCCAGTGTGAATTTTCTGATGTAAAATAAGTGAAGACTTCAGGCTGAAGTTTTTCCCACATTCACCACACTCGAAGGGCTTCTCTCCAGTGTGCATTCTTTGATGCAGCATAAGGTAAGATTCATCACGGAAAGCTCTTCCACATTCATTACATTCAAACGGTTTCTCTCTAGTATGAATTCTCTGATGCCTTTTAAGACAAACCTTCTCACTGAAGGCTTTTCCACATTCCTTACATTCAAAGGGTTTCTCTCCAGTATGAATTCTCTGATGTGCATTGAGTTTACACCTCCACTTAAAGGCTTTGCCACATTCATTACAATAAAAGGGCTCCTTTGCAAAGTGAACTCCCTGATGTAGAGTAAAAATTTTCTCACATCCATTAGAAAGATGGTGTTTCTTTTGAGCATAAACTCTCTTACAGTCATTAGGGCTTCTCAATTGACAAAAGGCTTTCTGACATTCTTTAATCTTACAGGGTTTCTCACCTGCAAGAATTCTCTCATGATAAATAAGGAGGGCATGCTGGCTGAAGGCTTTCTCACATTCATTCCACTTATTGGGTTTCTCTCTAGTATGAATTCCTTGCTGTAAAAGAAGGCAAACTCATTATTAAAGGCTTTCTCACAAATATCACCTGGGCCATCTCCATTCGTCCTCATTGACATCTGGCCACTGGCCTCCAGATGGCTTTGGAGGAGAAAGTGAGGCTGGTGACTTTACACAGCCCTCCCTCACTCACATCCAATTCAATTACAAGTCATCATCTCCCTGATGTCATGGTCCTCTTTAAGAGCAAAAGAAAACCAATTTATCACATTCAAAGGGTGTTTCTTTGGTATGAATTTTCTAGTGGGCAGAAGTTAAAAGTTTTGGCTGAAAGTTTCCCAAAATTCATTAAAAGGGTTTCTCTCCAATGTGAGCTCTTTGATGGACATTAAGCCTTCCCTACTGACTACAGTCCAGTTTCTATATTCACTAACACATTTAGTGTTTTCTCCAATTTACATTCACTGATAATAATGGCCAGCATTTATATAGCACTTTAAGGTTTGCAAAGCTCTTTACAAACATTATTTCATTTTATCCTCACCACAACCTTGGGAGATAAACACTATTATTATCCCCATTTGAGAGATAAGGAACTGAGATAAAGGTTCATCAGTGTATGAGGCTGAATTTGAACCTAAACTCTTCCTAACTCAAGGGTCCCGAGCTCCATCCACTGCACCACCATGCTGCCAGGAAGGAAGGGACGGATGCTCTTTTACTGAAGAGTTTCTCACATTCATTACAGTCTTGCACCTATTCTCTAGTATATAAGTGTGACACTGCATTCTGAGGAGTGTCTCAAGGCATTCCTCCATTACTGCCCCAGCACATGGTATTCGATTACCTCTAGGTAGGTCTTATCACTGGGGGATGTTCTCCTCAAATACACACTTTGATGGAGATGTACTCTTGTGGGGACTCTGTCTTGTGAAACTTCTTCCAAAGGTATCCTAATCAGAGGCACTCGCCTTAGGGATCCTGCTGCTGGGAAGGAATACAGCTTGCCCAGCCCACCCCCTCAGTTCCCTGTTTCTTCTCTACACTGACAGCACATTGCCCAGCTTCTCCTGTACAGGCGTCCCAGACACCAACCTTCTGCATTCTTTTCCTGGCTGATGCTCTCATCACAATGTCCTTGGTTTCACATCTTTCCTCATGAAATGAACCTGAAAAAACAAAGTCAATAGTCACTGCCGTCTGTGTTAGGAAAAAGAAAACTACTTTACATTCAGTTGGAGATACTGTTCTTCCCATCAAGAATGAAGACCGACATGCCAAAGGAAGAATGCACTGAAGACCGCTGTGGAGGCGGGAACACAGTCCTGATGCCCAGGGCTGAGTGAATTACATTCAGCCACACTGACGGCACTCATAAGATGCACTGGTGAGATTTTAGGGACTGCTTTTTTCCCTTTCCCTTTTATTTTTTTGTCATAAAGGATGGATCTCTGCATGGGGGGTGGAGGAGGGATATAGTAGGAAATGAAGGTCATTTGAAAATAAAAGCTATCAATGCAAAATCTTTTCTTACAGCCATCAGGAGATAGCACGTTGGCACAGCATAGGAAGCCTTATACGTAGGAGTCAAGAACACCTGAACTCACTTACTGGCTACACGACTGAGCACACCATTTCACCTCTCTGTGCCTCAGTTTCCTCATCTATAAAATGAGGAGACTGGACTGGATGACCTCTACGGGCCCTCCAGGTCCACATTTATGATGTCATGAGTGACCATCAGGATCCAGCACAGCCTCTGGCACCATGCCACAGCAGAGAGAGCTCCTTCTCCTGGGAGCCGGCCATTCGAACCTGAGGAATGCAAGGTCAGGGACCACTTCCCGGCTCCAACCATGCTGCCTCTTTCACGTCCCCCTAATGATACTATCTTCTAGCCCACGTGTCTCAATTTTTTCCACAAGAATAAAAGGGGAGACTTTTATTAAATGCTTTGCTAAAATGCAAAGGTGAGTTCTATCTACAGCACTTTTCTGCTCTGTAAGGAGAGCAACCATGCCAAAGAAAGGAAATAAGGTTAGGCCAACATGACCTTTTACATGACATTTCTATTGATCTTTCCTTGAAATCACCTTGTTTCTGAGTCCATCCTTCCACCTCTCCTACCCAGGGAGCCATCTCTTGTAACAAGAATTACAAGGAAAAAAAGGGGAAAGAAAGTAGGTCAGCAAAGCCAAGAACCCACCAACCCACCAGTGGATTGTGGGGCCTGGTCTTGATGAAGAACGCTGGCTCTTGGGGATCACCCCTTTCTTTTCTGGACATTCATTCATCAACTCTTTGATGTCCCTGATGCCCATCCTCCCACCCACTTTTCACTCACTCACCTGGGTAAGGGTCTCTTGGGACCTCTCCCTCGAGCATCCATGGAGCTTCTCCTCTCTCCAAGCAGGAGATCACCTCTGGTTTCAAACCTGGAAGGCCTGATCATGGACAGAGATATGAAGTTTTGAGGACAGAAAACCATCCCAGAATCCTCCCTTGGTCCCCTTCTCTCCAGGGAAAAGAAACCATGCGGGGAAGGTCCAGAGGCCAGGACTCAACCCCTCTTTGGGGATGAAACCCAGACTTGATTGGGACCCAGAGACCACTGATTTACTGGGCCCCTCCCTGCCTAGAGGAGAGGATCTTCTCATGTCTTCAGGCCACATGGGCCCTGCGACTGAGCAAGAACCTCTGACCTGGGGAGACAGACAGTTGGGAAGCTGGAGCCTCAAGGCCATTATGCACAGGGGCAGCATGCCCACCCACAAAAACCAAGTCCTTTCCCCTGGGCACAGAGGGCAAAAACAGCTTCCAGGACCTTCCCCTAGGGGATGTGCCGGACCCCATCACTGCAGAGAAATGCCAGTTCAGGTGTGCCACCTGCCGGGGTCTGCCAAGTGAGAAGCAGGGACCCCCGATGATCAGAGCCTGGCTCCAGGGACAGGGGGCATCCTTACCCAGGGAGGTGAGGTTCTCAAAGGTCTCCAGCATCACCTCTCTGTACAGGGCCCGCTGGGTGGGGCCCAGGTGGCTCCACTCCTCTTGGGTGAAGTCCACAGACACATCCTCAAATGTCACCGATTCCTGAAACATCAGACACGTCTCTTCTTACACAGGGTTCACAGAGAGACACAGAATTGACAGGAGGAAATATGGGGAGAAGTTCTCCAATCCTGAACTCTCTCCAATAAATGTAGTTTGGTAACATGTTTGACTGCTAGGCAGCGCAGTGGTTAGAGTGCCAGGCCAGAAGTCAGGAAGACTCATCTTCTTGAGTTCAAATCTGGCCTCAGACACTTCCTATCTGTGTGACCCTGGGCAAGTCACTTTACTCTGTTTGCCTCAGTTTCCTCATATATCAAATGAGCTGGAGAAGGACATCGCAAACCACTCCAGTATCTTTGCCAAGAAAACCCCAAATGGGGTCACCAAGAGTCAGACAGGACTGAAACAACTGAACATACACCCCACCCTTGACCCCTGAGGTGTAGGACCTCTGGTGGTGGGAGCTCCATTACGTCCGTGTTCTCTAGTACCACAGGCTACTGGGGGCTCAGAATTTTGGACTGAACATCTGGGTGTCCCATGGCACCAGCCCAGCAGTCTGACCACCTGTGAACCTCAGGAACCAACCACAGAGCTCAGCTCTGCCCTTGGTAAAGTTCTGACAGACAGTCTTATGGGGGAGAACAAGTGAGGCTTGGACACCTGAATGGAACCTGCGGAGCAGGCACAACTGAGGGTAAAGGAAATGCTTCCATGCCTGGAGGTGCCAGATGGTATTTCACCTGGTAAACAGCTGTCAGGAGCTCAGGTGACATCCTCCTCCTCCTCCTCCTCCTCCTCCTCCTCTACGCACTCATCCTGGGGAAGGGCAGAGTCTTCGGAAGGCAGAGCTGCAAGGAGAAGACAAGTCATCCCAGAGAGCGAGACTAGGCACAGCTCCTGACCTCACCAGGGAAACACCACGCACAGCATGTAGGTGTGTCCACCTTGTTCTCTACGGGACAGAGGTTACGTGGGTTAAGTCGATGGCCTTTAAGAGGGTATCTGAGAGAAAATCAATGTTCACATGGAAGTGAGAGGTCAAAGAAGCCCTGTAACAGCCCTGACCCCTCCTCCTCATGGAACAAGCATTTATGTAGTACCTACTGTGTGCCCAGAACTGTGCTAGGAACTTTACGAATATTATCTCCTTTGACCCTCACAAGAACCTTGGGGTGGAGATATGCCTCTATCACCCCCACTTTACAGCTGAAGAAAATGAGGCAGATAGAGGTTAAGTGACTTGCCCAGGGTCACACATTTAGCGAATGTCTGAGGCCTGATTTGAACTCAGGTCCTCCTGACTCCAGGCCCAGCACGTCATCATGTGCCATGAGCTGCCAATGGTATTAACTGCTAACATGCAAGTCTGACCCCAGAGCTGTGGCCAATTCTTTCCTGGACTCTCTGCCTCCTGCCTCTTTTTTCCCAATCCACAGTCCACACAGGGGCCAGACTGACATCCCTAAACACAGAAGAAAACCAATGAAAAATGGCTAAAAACTCCTCCAGCCACTCCAGGACTGCATACAAAGTCTGCAGATGTCTGCAGGTAATTAAAGTAGAAACAAGCTCAGGGAGGCAGAAGCTACACACAGTGCCAGGCTGCCTGGGTCAGAGCTGCAGCTAAAGACAGGGCCAGTTTAGCACCAAGGTAGCAAAGCACTGCAGTGGCCTTAAAAGGCACCTGAGAGCGGCCAGAAGCCAGGGATTCCTGCAGCAGGCAGGGCCTCCTCCATCCTCAGAGCCCCAGAACAGCTCACAAAATGGCCAGGATGAAACAAGGCCTGCCCCAGCCATCCAAGAACACAGGATGAAGCAATCTGACCCACACACCAAGATCCAGCCTAGAAACTACAGCTGAGATGAGGAAAGAGAAGAGAGCACTGCGCCCAGAGGAATGCTTTGAGTGAAGCTAGAACTGAGCCACCTCCATGACAAGCAGGAATGAAGACTCAGAAAAGACATCAGCTTGACCACAAAGACGATGGGAAAGGCTGGAAGAAATGACATTAAAAAATGAAATTAGAACTGAAAAAAGAGCCCTAGGGGGAAAAAGAGAAGATGAAAGATTGTCCCAAACAATGAACTCTGTGGAAAATAAAGTGCAGCCATCACTAACTCCCCCAAGTAACAATAAGTATTAGAATACAGTCAGAAGACTGGAGGCGCGAGGTGGAAATCTAAGATATCTATATCAGAAACAACTGACCAAGGAAATAGATAATTTAAAAATTGTTGGGGTTCCTGAAAACCACAACCAAATAAAAAACCTATTATATTTTAAGATATTATATATGAAAATTTCTCAGATCTACTACAACCAGCAAGCAAAGTGAACACAGCAAGAATCCACCAGTCACCTCCTGAAAGAAATCTCAAAAGGAAAACTCCTAGGAATATCATGACCAAAATCCAGAGCTTTCAGGTCAAAGAGAAAAAAATACCACAAGCAGCCAGAAATAGAGTCCAGCATCCCAGGAACTATCATCAGGGTGTGAGAAATAACTCATTCAGACTCAGGAGGGATGAAGTTAAAAGCCCAATTTATTATGCAGTTGCAATCAAGGTTGTCCTATGGATTAGGAAACATCACACCAAAGCAGGAGTTCACTATTTATCTCTAATCCCGGCCACAAAGTCCCTCCTCCATTTCCTCATTGGCTGAGTCCTTCACAGTGTATAGCTTTCCAGTACACCTATTACACACGTACTCCTTGACATGTCAGCCCTCCTTCTTCATACATCCCATGTTCAGAAAATGGCATCTTAGCCCCTCCTGGAGGTGGAGAAGCTAATATTTATAGGTCTATTAAGCATGTGCACTCTAAGCAAAGCTTCACCTTTGTCCTACCTACTAACTTCTATCAGCAAAACAAGATAAGACCAGCTTTATCGTATTTTACCTAGTTACTTTTAGCAGTTGTTTCAATTTTATGGAATCTTTCATTGTGATTAACTAACTTCTACCAGCAAAACATGAGACCAACTTACTATCCTGTTTTACTTAGTTACTTCTCTAGCTGTTTGCTCCAAATTTATGGGAACATTTTCGTTATATCTCTCAATTTCTCCCTTTCTCTCTCCATATGGGTTTTGTTTCCATAACTTCTTATTTTCCTTTTTAGCCCTTTTTCTCAAAATTTTCAAGAAGTTTTAAACATTCTTTCTCCTCCCTTTCTTCTCTAGGACTGGGTTTTCTTTTCACCACCATAACTGAGACACTTTGCTTTGTCTTTTTAGGCGTCCCCTCTACCACATGTGAAATAAGCCTTATCAGGCAAGGCATCAAACAAGCTATAAATAATACTCCCCCTAATCCTAACAGAATGATCATTCCAAGTTGCTTCTTCCATGACCCAGTCAGCCAATTAAACCAGTCTGAGTCAAGCCGTCCTTTCTACTTTTGAACTGGCACATGTGCCACTTTACGAATTTTTGTAGCCAGATTTTTAACTACCTGCCCATTATCATCAATCTGTAGATAGCAATTACTCATATTGAATTTTCTGAACCCCCCCCACCTTCTTCTGCTAGAAGACAATCTAATACTCATCTATGTTGATAAACAGCTGCCCACGTCTGGGTGGCTGGGTCAGCAAGAAGTTCTAAAGCTTGTGCGGTTTTGATTAGGTATGATTTCTACCACTGCCTGGAGCCTAATTAACCTATTAAGGAGATCTATGGGAGTTCTATATCCCCAACTCTCATCTTGGGAGTTGCTGGCCCATAAGTTTGAATTATTCTTTCAAGTGGCCATTCATTCCCCCAACCATTGGCATCCCCTGATTGGGTAATGCTGGTATCTAATGTTCTTTTCTGTCTTTGGAAATCATCATATAATGGGATTCCAAGGTCATGCCCCTTTAGTCCTTCTAAAAAGAAAAGGCCTGATCTTACTAACCCTATATAACATACTCCTGTCCAATTAAATAATAGGTGGGTGTAAACAGTTAGTCCACAAATCCAATAATGCCCCTTTAATGCAGGTCTTTCTTCACTAAACAACATGGTTTTCCCTTGCACTGTGGGGTAATACTGCTTTTCTTTTGATCCCAAGGGTCCTCCTTCTATAAATGTTGAATTACACTACACATTTGCTGCTTCCCTTTCCACGTGCAATTAATTAGGCAACCATTTTCTCCTCTACAGTCTTCTCCCCAGGAGTAGGTCCACTCACAGCCACTTGCTCCTAGGTTCTCTCCTGCTCCTGTTTGGTTCAGGCAATATTGTCCTCGAACACTTCTAGCCGAGGGCCAACTATGTTTTTCTGCCTTGTCCCAGAAATCAGTGCCATTCCTTACCTCTGACCGGTTACTGAATATCCAGGCCAGACTCAAAGGTACTGGGTACCATGGCCACGATTCTGCTGTTTCAGGACCTCCACAGACCCAACAGCTGCTCAGGTTAAAAGTGTTAGTCATTATTTTAGCTAGATGTAAAAAGGTATTAGGAGCAACGGGAAGAGGCATGGGAAGGGCCATTCCAGGGAGGATTAGGACTGCTATCACTATGTAGGATGATGGAAGCATTTGCTGTGGTTCTGCCATAATTCTCTCAGGGAATATAGCTGTTCTTATAATTCCTAATACTACACCCACAGGAGCCCTACACCTATCATCCCTAACTAGCTCCTTCAATAAAGGGACCCCTTCTCTAAGTTTCTTGCAAATGGCCACCAAGAACATTACAAGTAACAAGCAATATTGTAAGCACAAGAATGATCAATCCAGGGTCTTCTGACGTCCCCTTCCTTCCTGGGCCAGGGCAACTTTGAACAGTCCATTCCTGGGGTTTGTCCACTGGTCCTTTGACTCTGGTATAATGTGTCCACTCCCTTTTGGCTGTCCGGATTGCTGTTTCTGTGGTCAGCAACACTTGGTAGGGGCCTTCCCAGTCAGGCTGAAGTTTGGTCTCCTTCCAGGATTTGAGTAGTCCCCAATTTATGCACCGTGAATTTCAATGGTGGAGTCAGAGCCAAAAGTCCTTTCTTCCTCAAATTTGAAAATACAGTGGATAGCGCCAGTACATAGTTCCTCAAAAATCTATCTTTTGTCTCAAAAGTAGGGATGTCTCCCTGCCCTCCTGGATAAGGTAACCCAAACAACATTTCATAAGGTGATACACCAAGATCTTTCCTGGGTGAAGTCCTAATTCTTATTAAAGCTACTGGCAGGCATTTAGTCCAGGGCAATTTTGTTTCTAACGTTAATTTGGAAATGTGTCTTTTTAGGGTCTCATTGGATGTAAAATGACTACCATTGTCCAAATCTATATTTTCTACTAAACTATATTGTGAAATTACATGTTCCAAAATTATCTTAGATACTCCTGCTGCTGTAGCATTAGCCAAAAGATAAGCTTTGACCCATCCAGTTAAATGGTATTTTCTCAAAGCTAGATCACACATCGCTTGCACTCTCCAATGACTTCCTTGGTGCAGAATTCATAAAATTTCTCTCATGATTTGTTTATTAAATTTCTCTTCCATCTGGTCATAACCAACAGCCTTGCTTGATTTCCATCACCCCAAATTTAATCAAATCTTTCTTTTCGACTTCTGTAAACACAGGGATCACTTTTGTCTCACTGACTTGGGGAATTGACACATGCATTTTTGTAGGTTCCACGGACAAGGCAGCCTCCTTAGCCTTCTCTTCTGCTAATCTGTTCCCCTTTGCTTCAAATACTCCTCCTTTTTGGTGGCCATTCACATGTACTATGGTAATTTCATTTGGTAACAATAAGTTGGCCAGTACCTGCTTTGCTAATTCTTCATGTATTAATTCCTTTCCTTTGCTGTTTATCATTCCTCTTTCATACTGAATTTTTCCAAATGTATGAACTACCC